TAACACAAATCAAAAGTTTCGAAAGTGACTCCCAAAAAAAAGAAAAAATTATTTATCAATTTTATATCGCTGCTTAACCCATTGTAGAGAAAAAAAATGGCTAAAGTGCATTGAGCGAATCCAGTGCTCATAAACTGAAATATGCAAGTGGCAGCTATTGTGCGCTCCGTTATTCGAAATAAACTGAAAAGTAATATCTTATACATAAATTTATTTTTCTATTGCATATATGCATACTTTCTAATAATGTCATGATCCTTAGTACATTCAGTGAGTTGTTTATATAAATTTTTATCTCGTTCATTGAAATCAGCAGCGTTTGTATTAGTTTCCTTTAAGCCCAAATTTTCAATACGTATTGCCAACGCAGCGATATGAGCTGATATTAGGCGTAAATGTATCGAAGGATAAGTAACATTTACAAATTCACTTATTGCTTGGCCTGCCAAAGCCTGCAACTGATATAAATAACTTATTGCAAAATATTTACGTGAATCCTTCCAATTCCAAGGAAACCAAGCAGGATACATAAATCTACGTTCTTTTGCTAAGTAAACGATTAAGTTGCTTGTTAAAAACGTCATTCCAAAAATACGTGCATAGAACATAAAACATTTTTTGCCATCATTTTTCCCCTTCAGCAGTATTTCGCGCTCAGCTTCAGTATTTGCACGTTTGTCCAACTCTTCTAGTATGGAACGCACTTTTAACAGATTCTTACGTGAGAAGGCCACATTTAAAAATTTCAAGGTACACAGTATGACGGTAATTGTTAAGTAGAAATTCTCACAGAATTCGGCTACATTTTTTGAATGAAAGCAATTTACTATAAGTGTTATAGGAAATAGTAAATATACTGATATATTATATGCTGTGGTGCCAACTATGTATACCAAACGCCACGGTGATCCTTGTTGCGGAGGCACAAGACCAAAAATTTTCCAAACCTTCCATTGATAAGTAAGTGCTTCCCAAGTGTTGACTTCAGTCATCATATTACTAATGAAAGTCTGTGCTTTCACATTTGATATTGTAATCTATTGTATCAATATTTTTTAAATCTAGCAATTACTAAGTATATATATTATAAAAAAAAGGAATAATTGTTTTCAGCTTATCGTAGTCACATGATTAGCTCGAAAAGTTTGTGAAACTTTAACATTAATTTTAAATAAAAGAAAATGTGTTTAAACAAGTTTGTAATTTATCCAATTAGTGAAATTACTAAAAAATCAAAATAAAGTTACTCTAAGATACAGCCAAAATAAAAACTATTCTTTGTCTCTATCAGTATTAATATTTAAATGCTAATATTCCCTTCAGTTTATACAAAATTAAGTCATTTTGATAGCAACACAACTCATGTCAGTTATGGATTCTTAAACAAATATATCTTTTTCTTTGTAGACTTTTATATTGAAATTAATATTATAAGTTAAAACGAGGGATGATCGAAGTGTTTAGCTAACAGCATAGGAAGTAGCTTTTTTGAATTTTTTGTTGTGGTTTATTTTTCAACATCTTCTTAATTCGATATACTTTTGCCAACAATGTCTTAAACTCTTTAGTATCTCTTAATTGTAAATTTAAGCTAAATATTCATTTACGGTCATACATATTTGTTGCAAATTTTGTAGTAACTGGAGATCAAATCTGGTGAAAGACAGTAAATAAATTGGAGACGCAATTCATGAATTTTAACCAATTGTTGACAACTACCAAAGTTTAAGACAAAGTGTCATGGTGAAATAAAACTTTACCTATTATAAATAGGAAGGTTTGCCAATAATTTTGGTTGTTCAATAATGTTTAACATTTACCATTTAGCCACATACTCCTATCACACAAAAAAAAGTCGTATTATGGGAACAGCTAATTTCTAACTGACAGCACAAGAACTTTAACATCTTCTAAACTTCTTCAACTTATTAATTTACTGCTTTAATTATTGTTTAGTCTTCAGACTATTAGCGATTCCTTCATTTTCCATTAGTTATCACAACTGTACGCAACTCTATTTATCTCATTTTGCTAAAAGTGTTCGAATCACTACATTTTTTCCAAGACCATAACTAAACTTAACCTCAAATGCGCCGAAAGTTTTATCATGCGCAAGTCTTTATACAATATATTCCAAATGAAGTCGATTGTTTAATTCAAAACTTTAGTATGTTTTCTAATTTTTATTCCACCATCGTCCAATACTTTGATAATGTTTTGGCTTGGGAAGTAGTGGAGGTTCTTGCCCTCCAAAAATGATTTTTATCTACTTAACCGATACAAATATGTTTGAAGTCTGACACGTTTATTATTTTTATTGCTTATGATGAAAATTATGAGAAAAATCAAAAAAGTTCCTTTTCTTAAGTGATCAGGAGATCTTCATCAATTAAATTGAAACACTCACATTTAAGGTCAGAAATGGAAGCTTTACTATGGCAAACGATGCAACAGAGACTACATGAACATTATTTTATTCAAATTTAATTAAATATATTAAATATTTAACAATTTATTAAGTTTTAATACCAAAATAGGTATTTAGGAAATTACAGCTAGATAATTGATTCTCTTCAAAAAACTCTTGAAGTCGGCCAAAAAAAAATTTATTAAAACGAATTTCGATACCAGTTGATATTTTCAAGACTGCTCTATAAAGCAATACAGTTGCTGTTTGGTTGAAAAACTTTTCGAACACCCTACGTAAATAAAAAATAGATTTATTAAAAATGTATCAAGTTAATACATCATTTACGTTGTTTACTTTGCAGGATTATGTATTGACACATACTACTAATAAAAGTTAAAGTAGTACATATTATTTCTCATACCTCAAAAATGAATGTTTGTTGAAGTTTAAAAGTTTTGTTTCAAGGTATTTTGTTACTATACCAGATAAACAATTTGTATATTTCAACAGAATTTTCAGTACAAATATATAGTATTGCGCATAAATTTGAAATGCATTAAGAATATAACATATACATATAATAATATTGGGTGTGTAAGTTAATTTGTGAAATGAATCCATATACTTTTCGTTAATATGTTGAATATTCAAAGTGTTACCCATTAGAAATTTCAACTTTTTTCACCTTTCCAACTGCATCTATAAAACTGATCCAGCACAGTGACTGCTTTGCGACTTCTTCAATATTCACAACAGTTTTTCGCTGAGAGCATTAGTCATCAATCTGAACTAGTAGTTATCTGAAGAAGTAATGTCCGGTAGGTAAAGTCAACTTTTTCAATTTTGCGACTGCAAATGATTACTTGCAGTTATATACAATGAAATACAAATCAGTGATATTAGAATTGCGTGAATAAATCCGCAAAGAATACTTAAAGGAGGGAACCACATTAAATCTGCTTGTGTTACCTTGCTTACATTATTACAGCAACTAGTATTACTACGCAACTAGTGCTGTATTGGAACTTTCTGTATTTATCTTTATACGAGAATTAAAAGCACATATATAGTTCGACACATTTTTTTTCTTAGTAGGTGGAATCGAAAACTACGGTATAACCCACTAAACACTTCTTTTAGAAAAATTTTGTAGTAAGAAATATAATACTCATGCCATTAAGGTCCATTATACTGTGAATTTCATTCCAATATATTACAAATATATTTTACTCTTTTGTGGAGACGGAAAATGCTGGGAACCAATAAGGAAATAATTTTTGTGGTACTTAAAGCGTCAACCTCGAGAGCTTTAAGTTTAAGTTTTGAGAGGGCGGAACAATAGCATAGAAAATATTTCTTGGGGTCATCGTTTACTAAATAAAATTGGACATAACCTGACGGCAGTAAGGCCAACACGGAAGCGATGTTTCGCGTAAGAATAGCTGTCCATTGCACTAATTAGTAGTCTACAGTTCATATAAAACAGTCATAGGAAAATCTGTTGCTTTTTAATAATTTCAGGTAAGACCGGTATGATATGACTTAATTCGACATTAATTGTTCGATTTAAATAGGATCCAAATATCAATAGTTATTCTCACACCAATTGTTGGCAAAATAAGATGTGAATGCTAATCACAAAGTATCGTTTCTGAACTGATTTTTACGAGTTCGTTCGCTACTTCGTTTCCTGATATGCCGAAAGCTTGAACCAGTATTTGCATTTATCGACGAATTGAAATGATCTAATTGGGATGCTCAAGCATTAAAAAGCAGCTTAACTGTCACTTAGAACTCACTTAGAACTTATTCTTGATTTTCATTTAAATTCAGAAATTAGTTACAAGATTTCAACATTGGTTTCAAGATCGTAAGAATTTCTGCTTGAAAAATAGATAAATGTAAATCTAAGACAAATTAAAAGTATTTTTCACTATTAAAGTTGGCGAATACTTTTAAGTTTTCATTCCAGTGATACATCAATTAATGATTTATTTAATGATAAAAATGTAAATGAGAATCAATTAATATCAAGCAAAAATTCCAGTTCTGATGTTCCCGGATTAAAATCTGTAAACTGTAAATATAGTTTTATTGAATCAGCATTATCAATAGATCTTAATAATTAAGAGATTTCCTACTTTAAGTTTAAATGGTGATACTAAAGTAGCCTTTGCTTGACTTTGCAGGTGGCTTTGGTATCCTCGTCCTGAGTAAATAAGTTCATCATTAGCTCAGATCATCAAAAATAAAAAAAAACTGAGTGAATTGCTTTTATTAAATTGAAAGTATTAAAAAGTTTAGATAACATGATACTTTAAAGTTTATTTTTAATATTTATTTATAATAGCGAATAATTAAAACATTTTCCAGTACTAAATTTTACCTCAATAGTAGGTACACACTCTTTGCATAAATAAATTTATTAAATCATATATTCAAGTATGAGTAATTAAATATGAATTGAATAAGTTCATATTAATAATAAGTTTTTATATTTCATAGTGATATATATTTATTATGATATAACTTAGTTTTAAAGGTCACTCTTTTATACCCAGATACTCTCAAATTCTATTCACACTTTTTTGATTATTTGCTGCTTGTCTCAAACATAATTTTCTGTCTTAATTACTTGAAATTGGTCAGAAAAGTGAAACCAGAGTATGCAAATTTCATCACCTAAAAATTAAAAATTAAGAAATAATTATAATTTATAATTTTTAAAAATGTTAACAATTTAGACATGTACAGTCATCATAAATGAAATAATTTAATAAACAATTTTGAATAACTATTGTTTTGATATGTACATAGGAGTGTAAGGTATTACATTTTTTTTAAATATTTGACAGCATAAAGACTATAACAACTCTTAAATATATGTCACATTATTGAAAAGTACTAATGATTTTTAATACCTCAACCATTTGCTAACCATACCTTTAAAAATGTTGGTAAAATAATTGGCACAATATATGCATTTATATGATTAAATTCTTGTGTCCTATGTAAAAGAATTAATATTGAATCCTTGAATTTTTTGCTTTGATCCATCCAATTGCAAGAATATACAGCTGCACTTAAATTTTTATATTCTTCTTGAAGTTGAGTTCCATAGTAACACAAATCGAACGTCATGAAACTTACTGCCATGAAGAAGAAAACAATATTCAATAGCTTTACATCATTACTCAAGCCATTATAAAGAAAAAACACTCCTAAAGTACACTGAGCAAGTCCAGTACTCATGAACTGTATTAGGCATGAGCCAGCTATAGTACTTTCCGTAATTTGAAAGAATCTAAAATGTAATGAAATAAATATTTATTTATCCATTTTGATTTTATTTTCATACTTGGTTATAATTTCGTGAACTTTAACACATTCTGTTAGTTCTTTATATAGCTTTTCTTCTTGTTTCTTAGAATTATTGTCATATATAGCCTCTTTGGAACCTAAATTCTTAATACGTGTAGCCAAAGCTTCTATATGAGCTGATAATATGCACATATGCATCGAGGGATAAGTAACGTTTATAGCTTCAATGATAGCATAAGCTGTTATTGCATATAATTGATATACATAACATATAGCGTAATATGTAAATGAATCTTTCCAGTTCCAAGGAAACCAAGCTGGATATATAAGCCTACGTTCCTTTGCCAAGAAGACAATTAAATTGCTTGTAAAATGTGTCACACTAAAAATGCGTACATAAAACATAAAACATTTTCTAGCATTATTTTTACCCTTAAGCAATATTTGATCTTCTGCTTCGCTTTTAGCACGTTTATCCAATTCTTTGAGAATTGGACGCACTTTCAATAAGTTGTGAAGAGAAAAATATGAATTTAAAAATTTCAAATTCGAAACAATGACAGTAACAGCCATGTAGCCATTTTCACAAAACTCAGAGACACTCTTCGATTGCATGCAATTCACTATAAGAGTTAAGGGGAATAGTAAAAATAGTAATATATTAAATACAGATGTTATAATAATGTATGGCAAACGCCAAATGGACCCTTCCTGTGGAGGTACAAGACCGAAGAATTTCCAAACTTTCCATTGATAGGTTAATGCTTCCCAAGTTTTGATTTCAGATGTCATCGCAATGTTAAGCTCACTTTGAAATTGCTAAATTCACTACTTCTCCAATTTATAAGTCCAGTTTATTTATGCGTTTATTATTAGTCAATATAATATTGAAATAAATATGATTTTCAGCTGACTAATGTCACATTATTAGTGCGAAAAGTTTATAAAAGTATTTATTATAATTTTACATAAAATAAATTAAGTATTTGATTATTTTTGCAATTATCCTAATTTTTGCGTTTATTTTAGTTAAATTGAAATAGGTTCAACACTGAAACACGACGTTAGTAGATACTTTCCATTGTCTGCCTAAAGACTTCATTTAATTAGGAATACTTACTCATATTTATAGAATTATAATTTACCTTGAAATTCAGTAGTAGAGGTGTGTAAGTTATGTCAACCCATGTCAAACAATTGTTCTCATTAACCAATTAACTCTTTTCCTTAAATAATTATATTTAATTGAATATTAATAATTCATAGAAAGAAATATGAGTAATTAAAAAACGAAGTGCAGTATTTTACTACGTATATTAATATTTTTATAATTTCAAAATCGTAGTATAAGAAACGCTAAGTTTGAAGTAATATTATTAATGCCTAAAAAAGTAGATTTAATTAATACTAAACGTTTATAAAATATGCATCTTTACAATAATCTGTAAAAATTACAGGCAAATAGTTATAGATACACCCATATATTATAAATAAATTTATTTTTATGATTAAAACCTAATATTAATTATGAATTGTTATAATGTTTATTTTTTATGTTTACAAGCAATAAAGTTTATAACAAAATTATATACGATATTTCGATTATATTGTTTGATGATTGTCGTCGAAGAATTGACAACTATTTATACAGAGTTAAGCGATTAAAGTGTTACCTATTTAAGAGACCATATCTTTTTTGTGTTAAATTATTTTTTATTGATTCAAATCACAAAAATTTGTAGAAATAATCAAAATTTTAGAATCTATACACTCTAGTTCGATGTGTGCACGTTTTTCCTTGATTATGGCCTTTAAACGATTAAAAAATGAGTTGCATGCTTTACGAATCTGATCTTACGGATTTTGACCCATTCCATACTGTCGTCCTTTTAATCCTTATCTTATTCTCCAAAATGAACCAAATGGAATAGTCCATCGGATTTGCATCTGGCAAATTCGAAAGCCATTGTGTGGATATTCATACGACATATAGTGTGGAACATGATTTTTTAACCAATCTTGAGTCGAGCTATATGAGACCGGTGCCGAATCTTGTTGGAACCACCATGGTCTACGACCTAAATGTTTGCGTGCTCTAAAGAAACTTCTAAAACATTCGAAAATAAGTCGCATTGATTTTGACACCAGGCTCGATGAAAACAATTGAAGAGCATTGGCGATTACAGCTGCCCATACTTGAGATGGAAAATAACGAATGGGTGACCATTCGTAGTCTAAAATTTTCGGCAGTGCGTTCAGTTAAGTATACACGAACATTTTTAGAGTTTATGAACTGTTTAATGGGAAAATTTTTCTCATCAGAGAACACAATATTTGAAAAATTTGAAATTATACCTACTATGTATAGTTAGTAACACTTCCATCACTTAACCCTGTATAATGTACCTATTATATATAAATTAATTTATTTTTGATTTTTATGAATAAAATTTTATTCTAATTATGAAATGAGTAATGATCAATTAATTAAACTTCAAATATAATGTTTATTTTCGATGTTCATAAACAAAAATGTTTATAATAAAATTAATTTCCGGTATTTCCGATGGTTATTGTTGGTGAACTAACAAATATATTTAAGTATTATCAAAAACATATTTAATTATATATTATTTTATTTGTATAGTTGTTTTGTTTTTATTGCTTTTATATATTGTATTTCATTGCTTTTTTATTGTTTTTCGTTTATATTTTTGTTTCTGCTTTTTGTTTATTGTACAGATATATAAAAATATGAGAATTCATATTGTTCCGATAGAAATATTTTATATATATTAAAAAATATTTATATTATTGAAAACAATATTTAAGAACATTATTATGTATTTTAATTAACTAACCAATAATACTGTTTAATAATTATAACAGGAAAAGTATTATAAAAAAAATAAATTGATAATTAATGATAATGATATGTGTGAATGATATTGAATCATTTGCAAATCCGATACAATTTTTCTTTCTTTAATCTTGATATTTTCATATGTATTAAATTATTATAAAATTTAATTGTACGCTACCCAATTTAGAATAAGGTAATGTATTAGTGATACTTACTGCTGTCATTTTTCCCAAAGTGGAGCATAGCGCCTTAATATTTTAGTGATGATATTTTATATTTATTGCATGTATAATATTATTATATATTATAT